TCCTGTAAATATTACATAATGAGGTTTTACCTTTTCTTCCTCATCATAATGAGGTTTTGCCATTTCTTCCTCATCTATTTCTTTTTCTTTTTCTTTTTCTTTTGATGTTTCGGCCTTTTCATTTCTTTTCTTTTTGTTCTTCTTCGCCTTTTTCTAAGAACAATATGACTTTTATCTGGCTAATTTTTTTTTTCTTTTTTCTTTATTTGCTCAAAGAGCTTTTCTACCTATTTTTCCAGAATTCTTAGACTATCTTCTAAGATTGGTCTGAATGCTTCCATTCTTGTGTTAATGTGTCTGCTAAGTAGTTTTCTTTTCCTGAAATATATATAAATATATAATCAAATTGTTGTGCTTTTAAACTCCACCTTAAAAGTATGCCTTTGTTGTACGATTCTTTTATAATCTTTTGTATATAAACTATCTGTTTGAAAGATGAATTTAACTGGTTGTAAGTCAAGTTTAATTTTTTCAAAGCATTTATAAAAGCTAATGTTTCTTTTTCATGTGTTCTATAGTTGCGTTCTGCTTGCCTAAACGTTTTTTTATACCTATTTGGATAACAATAATTGCTTGCTATTGGTTTTACCCAATGCTGTTTGCATAGAATAATTAGATTCACTATTTTCATCAAAACTATCTTTAGTCATTCTCCGTATAAAGGATTTAACTTCAGATGGTTTGTTGTTTGTAATAAACTTATTAAGCTCTTCATATGCATCTGAGATTGGTTGAAGGACTGCTCCCCAAGTATCCTGACTTGTATCAGTGTTTAAAATAAGTAAATCACTAGGCTTTGGTAAGTAAAGCCGTGGTAAATGAGTACATAATCTTTTTAAGGACTGTACTGCTCTAGTTGCATTATCTGTCCACTTCCATGGTACTTTTTTTGAAATCATTTTTTGTAGTAACTCTCTTTCTTTTGCATGACTTTTTATAAAACCTGTTTCACCAATATATGTTAAACACCCAAGAAATTTTTGAATCTGATTTCTATTTAATTCATCGGAAACTGATGTATTTTTTCGAGTAAATGTTTTTGAGGTTCAATATAGCCTCCTACAACTATTTTCATTCCCAAAAATTCTGGTTTAGTTTTGCAAATTTTTGTTTTTTCTTTACTTAAAATAACTCCTTTATTTCCTAATTGTATTAAAACCTTTGCATGTTCTTTTAAATGATCTTCTTTTGATCCTTGTGTAAAAACATTATATCATCTATATAAGAAAGACTTATTGATTCTAATCCCTTAAGATTATTATCCTTAAGTCGTTGATATATGCCAGGTGCTTGTTTAAGTCCAAATGGCATTACATTGTATTCATAGTGGTTTTGAGGTGGACAACTAAATGCTGTTAAAGGTTTAGTTTCTTCATGTAACTTTAACTGCCAATATCCTGACTTAGCGTCTAATGTACTATACCATTTTGTCTTTTTAATTCGACTAAAAATATAATCTTGTATCGGTAACTTATATGCATCTACCTTAGTGGCTTTATTCATTTCTTTGTAATTTTTAACAATTCTACGTTTTTGTCTTTTTATTTCATTATAATTTTCTATATAGAATGCTGGTGCACTATGTGAACTTGTACTAGGTTGTATAATACCCCTTTCTAACATTTTAGTAGTTTCTTCTTGAAATTCTTTAGCATCTCTTTCTGTATATGGTATTCTATTTGGCACATTGACTTCTTTGTTAGGATCTATTAGTTCTATTTTTACTATCATATTATTTATGTTTTTATTTGGATATAATGGATTTTAACTACATACTTTTTCTAATAACTAATTAACATGTTCTTCTAATGTTATGCTTATTACTTTATAAATTTGAAATGGAACTTTTCTTAATATCTCCCCCCTTATGAAAGAAGACGTATTATATATTTTTGTGATAATTATTTTACTAGACTGCGTATCTATATGTGGACATCTAAGACTGATGCTGTTTAATCTTTGAATAAATGAACTGTATAACTTAAGAAAGTTATTCTCAATTATTAATGGTAAACATATATTTTGTTTATAAAGACTTGGTGAAGGAAATCGCTTTTCTTCTATTAACTATCTGTTGCTCTATAATCGATACTTATAGTCTTATTATTTGCAATTCTCACTATAATTGCTTTGTCTAATTTCTTTCAATATTTATTAGGTAATATAGATTCTTTTGCTAGACATATCGGTGCACCCGTGTCTATATATGCTAGTAAAAATTTTGTTAAATAATTTAAATTTTATGAATGAACTATTTTCACTTATCTTCTGATTCTAATGATTTTAAATCACTATCTGTTTCTGATTCTAAATCATATATATCGAAGTCTAATAGCTTACCTTCTACGTATTCTGCTTCTATAGGTTCATAACCTAAAGAAAATATCATTTTTAACTTCTTATCTTTTTCTGGCATGTTTTTAGGACATTCATTTGCGTAGTATCATATTTTTGACATTTCCAACATCTGCAATTCTTTTTTCCTTTAGGACAATATTTGGGCTTTCCTAATTATTTTCCTTGTTTTCTAAACTTTCCTTTATATTTTGGTTTCTACGGTTTTCTAAATGTTTTATATCTTCATGGTCTATATCGTCTATTAAACTTATTGTATTTATAATATCTTTTCATTCTATATGGTTCATAACAACCAAATTATTGTGGTACATATTCTAATTGTTTACAACATCTTGAATCGACTTTAGTCATTTCATGGTGTTCTAATTTCCTTATATAAAGCTCATCTCTATATTCTTTGGCATATTTTTCTAAATTTCCTAGAGTTTTTTCTTCTCTTGTTTCACTGATTTTCTTCTGAATATATTTATTCATTTCATATTGAAGTTTACTTACCGATCCTTAATTTTATAGAAATTTTCTCTTACTTGACAGAAAAATTTTTCTATGTAGCATGCATTGCATAATTTCATGTTTGTTAGAAATCTAACTACTTTATTTTTGTGTTTCCTTTGACTTTTGTCCAGTAATTCCTAAAAATTCTCTTAATATATCCTTTGCTAATTCTCTTAAAGCTGCTATTTTATATTCTGCTCCTGTTTCTAAACCACTGGCTTCAAAATTTAATAAAATTCGAGTATTTTCTAGATAGTCAAATAATACTCCAGATATGTTATATCTTATATAATTAAGAGAATATGTTAATGTTATTCCATTTATCATTGAATCATTAGTTTGAACTAGTAATTTTAGTTGATCAGTCCAAGTGACTATTAAATCCTCTGCATCGGTTGGACAATCTATATTTAATATTCCATTAGATAGATTTCTTTCTTTTCAAAATATGATGGTGGTATATTTTTCTTAATTTTTTCTTGATGATAGCTAATCATTTTTATATATAAAATCTCTATAACTTCTTTCAACATAATTATCCCGTGAACTAGATATTATTTGTTCTAGGTCATTTTGTTGATAATGGTGATGTTGTATGTGGTTTTTGATAAGTCATATTAAATATGGGTTCATTTTCATTTTCGCTATCTATTCCACATATTATTCCTTATTTATCCTCATCATCTATTTTTTCCATTCTAGTTTCTTCAATATTACATTTTCTAATAACTGAGTTAATCTATCTATATCATCCATTAGAACTTGTTGGCGGTTCTATTTGAATTGGTTTAAATAATTTTTTCCGTATTTTTTCTTTTTGTACTAAATCTCGTAATTCTTTTATTGTTTCTTTTATTTCTTCTAATTTTTCTAATGTTTCTAATTGGGTTGTCTTTATTATTTCTATAAGTGTTCCTATTTGTTCAGAGACTTTTGGTAGATCACTCATATTATTACTTTTTTTTTCAAAAAAAAAAAAAAAACTAAAAAACTTCTTAATAAATTTTTTCTTTTGATTTTGCCTATAGCAAAATATGGTGTGGATATAGTGTATAAAGTGACACATGTCACTTAATAAGGTGATAATGGTAGTGCCCTTACAGGCAGCATCAAAATTTTCCCAAATTGTTGATTCGGTTTAATTGTTTGATATTAAAATGACAATAATTACAATTTTCTTTGGCCTTCAATTATTACTTTTTTAAAAATTATAAAATATGTAGTAATTAACTTATTGAGCTATATTTAGTGATCACTTATTAAATCTTGTTTTGGACGAGCACTAGCAGCGTTTGCTAATTGGATTGCTAGAATTGGAGATGAGACTGTAGGAAGATCAAACGACGGTTGTACATCGATTTGACATACTAGATGATATAAGATTGGATCCTCCGATGATCCAATTGGCACAATTACGGAAAGTTCATATCCAATGTTCATGAATTCTAGTGATGATCTAAGTTATTTGAAGGACATGGCTATATGAGTGCCTAGATTGGAAGTCGTTGAGTCTATCGATCAATACATGTCATAGATGAATTCTGCTGAAGATCGTACGTATTTGAGCTCTGACAGTACGTCTAAGTTGAATTCATGCAACTACTTGACAGATCTTCACACACCCGAGTTCTTGAATAGTATCAGTGTTCGGGAACACCGAACAATGAGTTGCATTTGAAGATAGGAACCCCGATCATGTTATTACAGAACATGGATCATTCTATGGAATTGTGCAATGGGACATGTTACTTGTGACCAAACTCTCCAGCATGTGCTTGAATACATAATATTGACGGGTATCACTTGCGAGAAAATGTTGAGTCCTAGAATGAATTTAACTACTTCTGATCTTAGGATTCTATTTATGTTCTAGCGGCGACATTTCCCACTTATGGTTTCACATGGCGAGTTGCCCAAGAATCAAATTAATAATGTTGTGTACAAGAAGATTGTAAAAATATATGATTTTTTTTTTTTTACGAACATTTTATGATTGTACAATTAAATACACTTAAACTTATAATACTCCCAAATTAAATACATCTCGTGCATCGCACGGGTTGCACACTAGTCCATTATAAAACTTAGAACTTTTTATCGGAATTATTATGCAATATTCAAAATATTCAACGGGCTATTCAAAAATATTATGCAATATTCAAAATATTCAACGGGTTTCGCATGGAGAGCAACGCATGCAGATAAGTCTCAACCGAGTCGAGACCGCATAGCTCCTTAACGACGGGCATAGTAGCTGGCACGTCGAGCTGGAATGTCGACTCAGCGCCTTCCAATCCTCCCCACGACTTGAGTTGTTTTCTTGCATCCTTAATCGCTGCCCGCGTGGCACAGTGCACTGATGCCGCCAGAAGCAGCGGCGGCTCTCCAGAAGCTGCACCAAAAAGACAGACTTGATCAAATTACAAACAAAGTGTAGTGTTTTTTATTTGTTCTTTTTAAGCCCATGCATTTCTTGAATATTTTGCTCTCAATACTAATCAACCAAGCATTTCATCATTTAATGTTAGCTTCGGCCAAACGATGAGTACCTTTGGACGAGAGGACGCGTTTCTGGTGATGTCCGCTGTTTAATATTTCGACGTTGAATTCTCTAGGGATAGTGTCAATGGTCGGGATCTTGTACGTCCATGTCCCGTCAGCAACCATCAAACCATCTGAATTGAACAAGTATTCTTCTAGCATGAAAAATCCGAGCCCTTGTACAAATGCCCCTTCAATCTGCGTAATCGATATTGAATTTTTAGTTGTCTTTTTTTTTATTATTTTTTGAAAAAAATTTTCAAAACTACGAAAAGCAATACAAGCGAAAACTAGAGATGGAATTTCGGAAGTATAAATGTATGATGATTGACCTGTCCCAAATCCACAGCTGGGTTCATGCTCTGGCCGCAATCATACACGATGTCTGTTCTAAATATTATTGTCTCACCAGTTAGGATATTTACCTCCACCTGCAATATAAATGATAAATACTCCATTTGTTAGTGTGGTCTGCTCAACGTGGTTGAAACCTGAGAGACTAATCTAATCCTATTGCTGCTAAATTGAGAAACATGTGATCATGGATAAACCTGCATATTTACGTCAAAGCATACATCATATATAGGAAGCTCGATGAGAACTGAATAATTCTTACCTCACTTACTGCAGCACCATAGTTCAAGTATCTATTAGAATTTGATTCGGGCACAAAGTAAGAATTTGCTGCCAAATTCACATTTCGATAATGTGCCTGCATTCAAAAGTAAATTGCTCGATCAGAAAAAGGGAAAAAAAAAAATCGAAAATGCAGCATATGTAGGATGAACATAAACCTCCTATCCACACCCCCAGTAATTAATGTTTCCACATATATCGAGACAATGTATAAATATGCACAACTTTGCAAACTTGACATGTAAGGTTAATATTCAAAAACAAAATTTCTTGTCATCAAGAGAATTGAAATTTCTTGGATGAAACTGAAGCTGTTCTGTCATGCATTNACAGCACAGCCTAACTGCCTCGCAGCTCGACTCAGAAGTCGTGCTACCTGCCGTAAACCCTCCCTGCACCAAACTCAACGTGTCCGCCTGAACAACCCGAATTTTCTCCACCAAATCTTCACAATCACACCCAATTCCACCAAGAGCATATGCCGCCACCTGTCTCACCTTCGTCCAAAGCCCCTGCCCCAATTCTATACCCCCAACTTCCACAACCACAGACCCATCCCAAAGCACACTCACTTTCCCAGGACTCGGCCTCACAAAAACATCGTGCACAATCGGAACTCGAGATATTCCCCTCTTTCGCCACATATGAACCCGGTTAAACTGCTCGACTTCCCTCACCCTCATCTCAAACCCAGACGACTCCCCCACCTTATTCCAAATCAAAGGCAGAGTGTACTCAAACAATTCCCCAGACGAGTCTCCGTAAAACATCTTCAGACTCTCGTGCGTGTGGAGATTCCGTTTCCTCACGTAATCCGCTTCCATATCTAAAAACGAGGCCACGTGCTCGATTATGGCCTCGGCTATGAAAGATCCTTGGACTTCCCCCGGGCCCCGCATGGCGGATCTGCTCGGGAGATTCGTCTTGCAAACTTTGATGTCGAAGGAGAGTGCGCCCCAGTCGTATTTCTTGAGGGGCCCCATCATGTTGCTCGGGATGACGGGGCTTATGTCGGGTGTTATGCCGGCATCGACGAGCACGTCCAGGTGTAAGGCCGTGAGCTTGCCGTCTGTCTTGAATCCGACGGTGTAGGTTATCTTCATCGGGTGTCTGCCTCCGGCGATCGTCATGTCGGTTTTTCGGTCCATGTAAATTCGGACCGGACGGCGTAGTTTGTGAGCCGCGAGAGCACAGACAGTGGCAATCTGGAAATATTTTTCGAGGGATACATCGTATTATTATATACTAGTATTCGATCATGTGCACACATGCACATGTGTTTAAATTACTATCAGTTAAATGTATGTATATAATATTAAAATCATAAGTTAGATAATAGTATCATATTTTAAAAATTTTGTCATTAGTAAAATGAACATTAATATAAGGCTACGTTTGGATTGAAGGATTTATCGAGGGATTTGAAATCCCTCAATTTTAAATTTACAAGTTCAAATCCCCATGCAAGTTGAGATGGTAATAGAAGTTGGAGGATTTCAAATTCATGCTAGATACTTTTTAGTCATTATTTTGAAGGATTTTAAATGACTCCTCAAACCTAGTAATTTAAAATCCACTGTTTATCATCGTTGACGACCACACCGTCCGCGATCATTTAGGTTCATCACCACCGCGAGTCAACACTATCGGAGCGAGCTAAACAATTGATTTATAATATTTTCAACACATTCATTCAAGGAGTGTGCAAGTAAAAAAAATTATATTTAAAATTTTGAAATCAAGGATTTCAAATCCCTCAAAACAAACGCAGCCTAAAAGTATTCAATTTCATCACTATATGATTATATAAAATAAAATGGATAATGTAGTTTTTATAAATTTGAGAGATCCTGGCCTATTAGTTATCTTAGAAATTATTACTATTATTTATGAATTTTTAAGAGGCTTGCTTATACCACTAAAGCCAATTAGCTTATTAGAAAAATGCATAAATGCAATAAATAGTTTAAGAAAAAATTTTGCAATATAAATTATACTTATTGAACTTCTATATATCATTTAGTGTGAATTATAATTGGTTGTTTTAGTAATTACTATTATATAATAGAATATTAAAAACATGATTACAATTTATAGAAATCTCTATCCTTTCGAAAAAAAAATTAATTAACCATTATTGAAAAATTCATTGATTAAGTTTCAGTTACCGTTTAAAAGAAAAATTATTGGATTGTAACGAAAAAATGTGAATAATTCAAATAGTTTGTTAAATGTTTTGTTAGTAATTATATATATGAATCAAATATTCATTGATTAGTGATTTGTTTAAGGTTTTAATTAAAATAAAAATAATAATAAAGTAAACTAACCTCTTTTGGAGCGAAAATAAATGAGGTTTTATTAATTGCTTTGCCAGCTATATATATATATATATAGATTTAAAAATGCATTTTAAGTTACTTTAATTGTGATGTTAACTATATACTCACAGGCATTGCTTTGATTGCTTTCCCGCCAAAACCTCCGCCGACTCTTCTTGTAAGGACACGGACATTATGATCGGGAAGACCTAGACATCTTGCAATTACTCTATGAGCAAACTCGGGGGTTTGACAAGAACTGTAGACCACCATGCAGTTGTCTTCATCTGGGATTGCGAGGGCGGTTTGGGTCTCCATGTAAAAGTAGTACTGTGAACCTAATCTTATCTGTTATCAATTACGAAAAACATTTCAGGATGAAGGCATAAAATGACAAGCCATTATCAGTATCCACAATTGTATATCGAAAACTATTTACTTCAATCTGGTTCGTCAAAAGGCAGATAACGGCACATATTCTTGGAGAAAAATTCAGATTATGAAATAAAAAGCCCTTGTGTGATTGATAAAAGTACTTGAAAATTTTGAACTTGAGAGGTTTGACCAATACCCCTCCAGAATGAACAAAATAAAGAACTATATATAAATAAAAGCACCTCAGCTGAGAGAATCTTGTGATCAGCTTCAGCCATTCCTTTTGAGAAATCGCCGACTTTTGCAGGGTATACAAAAGGAGGAATATCGATGAAACTCGATCGTTCAACAGCCTCTTCAACTGTTAATATAGGTGGATCTAAGCCTTCTGTATCATAATCAATTACGGCAGTTTTTGCCGCCAAATTCGCTTTCTTTTGTGTCTCTGCAACCTACAGAAGATTTATCAACAGTTTCAGGCATAAGTCAACAGATTTTCAGAACTATTAAAGTCAGCTTGCAGTTAACAGGAAAGTTTCCCAACACCAGACAGATTAGAAAAAAAAAATAGCTTCTTCATAGTACTTGAGAAGTGCTCGAGCATTACCACGAAAGCAATGAGATCACCAGCAAATCTAGTGAGATCATCAGCAAATAAAGGTTCGACACCTAACACGGTCATACTTCCTACGTTTTCCCCTTCTTTTGGGATATCTTTGACAGAGATAACAGCAGCCACTTCATCTTGAGACTTAAAAGAAATGCCTTTCACTCGAGCCACAGGCTTGCTGCTGCATACAAATGCTCCATGCAAACAGTTTGCGGGTGAAGGAATGTCGTCTACGTAAATAGCTTCGCCTGAAGAATTCGAACCATAAGTACAATGGGAACAAATACATTCAAATCGTGGATATAATGGAAATGTGGACTTCAGCTAATTTTCAGCAGAATTAAGTCAAAATGGAACAATCCTTGTTAAAATTAACCACAATTTACAATATTGAAACAATTTGTTGAGTTTTTCCCTCCACAACTAGTGGAAAATCCTTGTTAGTCTAGGTAAGCTACTATTGATTTTAAATTAAGCATTTAAACTGAAGCAATCAAAAATGAAACCTGAAAAGAAGCATAACTAACCAGAAGCTTGCATGGCAGCACCGAATTTGGTCATAGGTGCACCCACCGGATGATAGTCTCTACTCGATTCCACAATCTGTTTAGCTGATGACAACAATGGGGGTTCCTCTATTTGACTACTTTTGCACTCATTCTCACTTTTAGCAGCTCCTTCTAGCAATAAACAACTTAAATCCTTGGACAAACCACTGGATAAATCGGAACCCACGCTGGAAAAGCAATTAAGAAATTCAAAAAGAAAACCGACTGCTAAGCTTGACCTGTAATCAGAATGTGACGTGCCTTCTTTAGACACCACATCACCTTTCACCAATTTGATTGCTTCATACAGAACTTCTACACTAAGCATTTTCCCATTCAAATAATCCTCGACTTTCCTTGCTCTTGTTGCGTGGTCCGTTCCGTACGCCCCAAATGCCAGCTGGATATTATTTACTAAAACCCCATTTTTACTGTAGCTAACGTCGGCTAAGAAGGCCGCATTGAGATAAGGCAATGCATTTCCGAGAGGCCGTGGTGAGGCACGATAGGTTTCGAAAAACAATCTCGAGCTAGTTTGAATTGAACAACCCTCAACTGTTTTTGGTTCAAGAAAAGGGATGTGTACAGTCAAAAGGACCGTTTTCGGGTCCAGGGGATGTCTCTTCAAGAACTCCTCGATTTTAATTTTTTCATGTTTGTGACCTGACAGCAGACTTACAGTAGAACCCACAGCCAGAAGTAGTGTGACAACATCTGAAGGGAAACAATTCCTCTGTGCCATAACCAAATTTCCACCAATGCTAGCTGAGTTCCGGATAAAACCAGAAGCAAGCTTTTCTAAATGGTCAGCAATTTTGGTGAACACCATATTTCCACTTGAACCTAAACTCACTCTACGTTTCTCTTTCAGATAGAAGATAACTTTGGAAATCGTCAAAGCTGCTCCAAATTCAATACCCGACTCATCCCTTCTAATCACCGAAAGCTCAGGGGTATACCTCAGATCAATGTACTTGTCGTATTTTTCTGTTTCTTTGTAATACCCGTTTGCTGTGTTGCCAACAACTAATCTGATCTTTTCCCCATTTTCAACCATATCAGAATTCAACAACTTTTGAAGCTCGTCGAGTGTTCCAGGACTGTACCATGAACATTTATCGGAGTTCCAAAGGCCCCTAGACTCGAACCCATCTCCCAATTTTTCAGCATATGTACAGGCATGATCCTTTGGATTGTATGACGGTAATTTACTAACCTTGACCTCTTTTGAATCTCCCTTTTTCCAGAAAGAATTAACCCCCAAATCCTCCAAGTCAACATTTGCTGCAAAACTCTTGCAGGCATCGGCAATGGGCCTGTAACCGGTACACCTACAAAGATTTCCCGAAATAGCCTTTTCTGCTTCAGAAGTTGTGAGCTTGGAAAGCCCAACGGATGGTTTTGGCCGATTGTTTTTCTTTTCGGCATTGGCGAGTGCCGAGAAAAGGGAGACGCACATTCCGGGTGTGCAAAACCCACATTGAGAAGCATGGAAGCCCGTGAACCTTTGATGGATCGGGTGGAACCCGTCTTTACTATTTCCAAGGCCTTCGCTTGTTGTAATCGAGCAGCCATTAATGCTGCATAAAAGTGTAAGACATGAACTCACTGTGAAATTCTCAACTTGCTTGAGATTGGTATTGTACTTTGACAGCAGAACAACACAAGCTCCACAACCGCCTAAGTTCAATAAATTCACATTAATCAATTGTAGAGCCACCACAGCAAGAGAACTGCTGCAGTAAGACAGCTAGAAAAGAACAAGACCTCAATAAACAAATAGCAGCCTTTTCCATTATTGGGAAACACACACACGCGCACAAGCAGATAGCCATAAGAGTCGCAAATTCAAACCACATACGAGCACATCAGAGGACGGAAAAAATTAAACAGCCACAGCTAATTAAGCAATAACAAATAGTTCATAAGAACTGAAAAAGACTGCTAGAAGATTAGAACCACAAACGCAGACAAATCAAATAAAGGAAAATAACCAATTTTCATGAATCAGAAAACCCACACACACACACACCTTCACCGCAGCCAAGCTTGACACTCTTGAAACGGGTCCTCGAGCGCAAGAACTCAAGCAAAGTAGTCGAGGGGTCAATCTCGTGGACCTCGAAACTCTCCCTGTTAACCTCGAACACCAGAGAGCCATCTTCGGCTGAAGTCGGCGGCACCTCCATTTCTGCCAAAAACACACACTGTGTGTACCCACCCTCTTCGTGTAGCAGTATGAGTATGATATTGTAATAATGTGATTGAAAAAGAGAATCTTGGCCGATTAGCTAGCTACACTGTTCTAACACGCAAATAAACAATCAGAGAAGAAGGAAAAAAAAGCACATGGGTTGGGGATTGATTCACATGCACAATATTCACGCCATCTTTACCGTACAATCATGAAAGCAATGTTTTTTTCTCTTTATTATTAGCAATATATATAAAATTGTTTGTGGAGGGCTAGTTGAAGCAACTCAAGCAAGAATGTAGCTCAAAGTCCAAAGCTCCTTTTGGGTTGGTAGTGACGGGCGAAAATGGTGAGCCCATAGTTGGACTTTGACCGTGGCAGCATTCCATTTTCCAAAGCGTTTGTCCAATTTGCCGATTTGGTTTAATTTTTAAATATTAAAATGACAATAATTACAATTTTCTTTGGGCTTCAATTATTACTTTAATAAGAAATTTTAAAATAAATAGTAATTAACTTAATGAGCTATGATTAGTGAATAGTGATCACTTATTAAATTTTATTTTTCGTAACCCAACTGTGTTTTTTCATCTTCAAATAAATGTCAAAAACCATACAAAAAATAACGAAATTATGTAAAGACTTGTTTAAATTAAATTAACATCATTCATAACAAACGAGAAACGTTGACTAGCGATGTGGCTATGGAGACGGAACGTTGTCGAGGCCCTTGTCCTTTAAAAGAAACCCATGACGAAGAACAATATTCGCAACTCCACTTAGTGGCACGTCCTTTCCAATTCAAACTGGTAAAGCTAAATTAAAAGGCTAGAAATTCATATTATTTCATATTTCAATAAAATGAGTTTGTGACTTTGAAATTATTCGGATTTGTGAGTGAAATATTCTATGCTCACGAAACTAGCTACATTCATACTCTACTCATATGCATCCTCCCACACTGGAAAACAGTACATATATGATAACGTAAACGAACATGTACGAAGGAGAGACTATTGACATAATAATATGAAACAAATTGTTAAGAACAAGCAAATTAGTATATACACATTACACCCACCAATACACACACATGCACAATCTTATCTTGCACCGCATGGGCCACCTTAGCCCAATACAACGACATGATCTATGAATAAATGATAGAGTGGCCCACTTGTTTACTCATTAGCCCCGAATAGTAATCATTATAGTTAAGATAATCCCAAAAACGACAAAGCCCAAATTCGTCATGTTTAGGTGACTGCAGGTATATTAGGTATAAATCCTCCAGGTTCTTGTTGAATGCATTTCTTATGGTGTGAACCTGCAAAAACAGTGAAATTTGAAAAAAAAAAAAAAAAAAAAAAAAAAAAAAAAAAAAAAAAAAAAAAAAAAAAAAAAATGTCCCGGTTCGTGCTTTCCCAATAACCGATCACACCAAATTACGTTAACGAGCAAGTGAAAAGTTTCTACTGTAGTGAAAGAATCACCTGAGAGATGTCGACGTGAGAATATTTAATCGGTGACTTTTCATCATTAGATCCAGCACACAGTAGGCTCCTGGTCAAACAAGACTGAAAATCCATTGCACACTGCAAGATGTTTTGGATAATTCTTGCAATGGACCGTGTTTCATTGGATAAAAAGCATCTGCAAGTTTAACCAAAAATAGTTACCAGGATTATATTTTATTATTTTTATTACAAAGAAGTTCCTTCCAAAGAGAGAGAGAGAGAGAGACATGTGAAGGGACTCAGTCAAATATGACATATGGACGGACTCCAGATCCAACATATCTTTGACCTGGAAAAAACAAGTGAAATCCAAAACACATTATTGAATATAACATTTACATGATTTCTTTAAATAATTATTTAACTTAGAGTGCTCTACACTTTTCATCCTCCCATTCCCAAATATGCATCTTCTGCTTCCCTTCAACAGTTGAGAATTTCATAAAGGTTATATAAATTCACAGCTTAAGGAATTCCACTATGACATTCTCAAATTCCAAGGGGGGGAAAAAGAAGAAAAAAATTGTTGATCTACAAGGGCTATGTTTGATAAAACTAACTGATAAGCTAGTTGATAGCTGATAAGCTAGCTTATAGCTTATCATTAATTTTCGAGCTTATAGCTTATGACTTATAGCTGAAAAGCTAGCTTATGTGATAAACGTGTTTGGTAAAATTAGCTAAAAAGCTAGCTGATGTAAAAGTTTCAACGAGCTTATTTTAAAAGCTACCTAAAGAAGCTTATGAGATAAACTCGAGCTTTTTAAATAAGCTCGTCCTACAAAACGAAAATTATTTAAATTGACGAAGCTTATAAGCTAACCAAATAAGCTATAAGTTAGCTTATTTGTTTACCAAACATGGCCAAGGTAATGGACAACAAACCTTGTGATTAAGAGAGTCTAGAAACCTGAACCAGGATACTTGGGATAATTGTGATTGGACGTATTGCTGCAATGCAGACACGAAATGATTAACCTTGTGCCTGCAATGACAGAAGGATAATTAATCAGAAGATGGAAACATAGGTACTGTAGAAACATGCAGGGCCTTCTATCCGCCATCACTTATTAAACAACAATACAAAAAAATAACATAACTGTTTCGAACATAAGCTTAAAAACTAAGCCTACAGAGCACAAATCATGAGAAAAATGTGTGAATTTCGATTATGTGCATTGATAAGAAATTAAGAAAATGGGTGATAAACTTCATACGTCCTTTTATCCTGAGTGACATACTATCTCAGCATACAAATTGGTAGTTTTTAGCACCCAAAAACCCCAGATATTAAGAACAACAGATCAGTCCAGGAAAACAGGCAGGAGAAAAGATCAGTGAAAGAGAACAATAAAACATGGACATGCATACTAGCTTACGGCAGTTTTCCCCATCTAGATAAATCCACAACACTCCATTAAAATGTGAGAAAAGAAATACAACTGAATTTCCATGATTCAGCTGTTAGATACTCCGCATAGTAGGTATCCATTAAGGATAACTAATTGTGGAACTCCACTCTTGGTCAATGATATAGCAGTATGCAAATTTCTTTACCACGTGGAAATCGTGCATATTCACTATTAGTGTCCCACCAATCTTTATCTATCTATTTTAATCGAAATAAACTAGTGCTGAAGAATAATACTCCAAACTGTACCTTGTATCAGTTAATATTGGAATTTGCTGTACTGTTCCTTTCTGTGGTTTGACCTGATAACCCTGATTGGAAAATGCCATGTGATGATTAAAAAAGAAAGAAATACTTAACTGGAACTGAAGCATACTGGAACTATTTCAGAAAAAGGAACATTTCTAATTGACCAGAATCAAAGCTGATTTTTTTTTCTTTTTTTTCTTTTTAGTGCATGAAGAGAGAAAGAGCATATAAAAACTCAGAAGAGTGGGATGCAAAGAAAGCATTTATATGAACTAAGAATACTGAGAATTTAGTTTCCAAAAAATCAACACAGATGGATGCTTTTGTGTAAGTTTAAAAAGGTGACATATGATAGTTTTTCTATATATGCTTACACATACTAGATGAAAGCAAGAAATTCAGCCTATTTTGTGGCCTTTCCATAAGCCCAAGTATGCAATAATATAGAAAATTAGTCATTATTTACACAAGTACCTTCAATAAGGCCCAGGCATCACTCAGGGAGAAAATGGCAAGCTTGACTTGTATCAAGAAATTAAATATCTCAGAATATATTTCCAACGCAACAGGAGTCAGAATTATACTGGCAGGCCAATTGATTCGGTAACCCAAACCCAGAAAATTGAAGGAATGGATTCCTGCCAGATGTGATGCAACCGATCAAAACAAATTACCATCTGTATGAAACAAGTAGGTGGCACCATAATGTAGTACTTCATAAAATATGCTAACAAATGTTTCTACAGCATTCTTGGGGCAGAAGGGGAAGACATAAAAGACTTTGCAACGCAGGCAGAAAACTAAACGAGTGAACGTTAAGGAGCATAGGTAAAGATTATATATCGCGAAGAACATAAATAAATTGAAGAAAAATAGATCATGTCTCGTATATTCATATCAATACTCAACCACCTAACATTCATAGAAAAAATATTTATGCTAGAAACTACATGTGGCCCAGGCAATGCATGGGGAAAACAATGTTATGATTGTATTATAAATTGAATATATAAATAACATGAATCATGATTACCCATTATTTTCAAAACCAGACCGGATCGGGCAGTCTGACCAGATAGACTGGTCCGGTTCACTTGAATAAACCGTTTGCTAGCGAACCGTCAACACCGTTTGGTCAGACTGGTAGGATCGGTCCAACTTTTTAAATGATTTTTATTATATTTAAAATTATGTCTAGTATAAATAAAAATACATATTTAAATAAAATGGGAGATTTATAAATTATTTATAATTTAATTTAAACATTTAATGATTTTAATTTTTCTAGATATTTAATTAAAATTATTTATATAAATTTATTACATAATTACTATACATATTAAAATACAAATAAATTAAATTCTGGTCAAACTGGTTCTAGTATAAATTCAGTAAAATCATATAACCTAAGATAAGTGATAAAAGAACACCTTTGGCATGAAAATATCAACAAAAATAAAAAGTGTACCCTTGGCAGAAGCAGCTAGATGTCTGTTTCCATCTCCTTTCAGGTACACATATAAACGATCCTTATTAGGGTCTCCTTCACATGAAGAGCTCTGGACTGCCAACTCAAGAACCCCCTGAATCTCAGGGATCCTTTTATTCACTTCACTAACATGCCATTTCTGATTCAAAGAGTAAAATCAGTGAGAGATCACAACTGAATAGAATCAGATAAATAACTGAAAAGAACATACATGATGCCAAAGTGACATGATAAATAGATCAACCCAGTCCGCTACTTCCATGAAATGATAACACCGCAACGACTGCAGGTGTTCTTGCAACTTGAATCCTTCTGTGAGCAACTTGATGGCCAGCTTGCTAACATATTTATATCTAATTACAGGAAGTAAAGGAATTTGGAAAAAAACAAAATTGTTTGATACTCCATCCTATTTTTATTATTTGTCATTCTGGCTTAATTGATCATTGATCAAATAAATGTCGTTTTGGCTATTTTGTTCGCATTTTTCCATTTTTAACCCTCCATCTAATACACATACACAGTGTCTCTTCATATCCCATCTCCATCTTTTCCCATAACATCCATTAAATAGGGTTAATATTGGCAAGAAAAAAAAATTCTTAATTAGCGTGTTGCTTCTCAAAACGACAAATAATAAAAATAGGAGGGAGCAATAAATACCACAACTTAAAGTTCCAATCACCACTTCTTTCGACCGAATGTTTCATACTAGACTTACAGGAGAAGGGAAATACTACAGGACAATCACCACAACATACTGACTCCCAAAGAAAACTCAACTGAAGAACATCAAACTAGCATCTCTCTGTTTTACTTTTAAGCTATACTCCCATCCCTAATATCCCCACTTTTTCCAGAGAGGCTTGACCTGGACAGCTGAGAACACCAAAAGAACAGACAGGAAATAAGATAATAAGAGAAGACTCATGCTTAATAAGAAACAGGGGAGGAAATCTACAGTATATCAAAGTACCTCTCTATTTCAGTCACCTGAATAGAAAAAGGTTAAAAAGACAAAAGTTGGACTCAAAGTTTGAAAGAGAAGTCTTAGCTAGGAAATATGCAGACGGAAGGCTGAAAAGTTCAAGATAATCAACTCCGGATGTTCATGTTGCGAAACATTTGAACAGAGCAAATTGGCCACATTAACTGTTGTCTCAAGTTTGTAAATCCTTGGTGATGCGAAGATAACATGTGGTAAGATTACAAAGCCTAGTAATAATCATGGGAACCTCACAAGAATGTTATTTCTATACTAGGTTGTCCGAGGCAGTAGACAGGTTATCGTTTCAGTTAGGCTCTCAAAAGGAGTTCTGTAATGCAACCACAAATTTATATCCATTGCATGCCCAAATTCACAAAACATAATCATAAGGATACTGCAGTGAAATCTCATCCAACACACATCTTCTAATGACAAAATCCAGCGGCATATCAGCTCCTGATACCAATAAAGTTCTGGGGTCTCTTACGGTTCTGCTGACACTCTTTTGAGATCTACCAAGCAAGCTCTCCCAAGCACTGCCACCAGTAGCATTTTGGGACAGCGACTCTCCATCACTATCCCTTTTATGCAGAGATAAACCATCAATGCACAATTTGGCATCATTCTCCATAACAGCATCATTCTGGTCCACTATGCTGGCAGTGTTGCTAGTATGAACAGAAGCAGTAGGAATTTCAGTTATTTGAGGAACTTCATTCTTTAATGGGAGTCCCTGATCACCAGCTAATTTCACTGCACATGTTCTCAGCGGATCTTCTACAGAAGTGAAGTCAAAGTGAGAGTTCATAAAACTTGCATGGCCACTTTCTCCAAGCATAGTTCGCGGAATACCAAAAGAATCTCTATTTAGTGTTGGGTTCTTACTGAAATATGTAGAATCATATTTCAGATAGGAAAAATGCAAATCAAATGTTCTCAGGGAAGCGCGTGTTAGACAATGACGCTGACCAGCACTGCCGACACAGACGTTGGAGGCATTTTCAGGGTCATTTGAGTCACTTTTTAGCAATCCATAATCCATGTTCAGCTCCAATCCCCTATCAGGTACAAGTGACCATGTATCATATTTTCCCTGATTGGTATGGTGATCGTATAAAAGATAAAGATCATCCACAGTACTCGAAACCTGGTTTTCAAGAGCTAGAAAGGGTTTTTGCTCAGTAGTCCCAAAGCATGCTTGTTTATAGGAATGATATGCAGCATAACCAGATTTCCTGTTTCTTTTGAATGGTAGGTCTTTCATAGAGCATGAGATATCACTTTGGTTGAAATTTTGCATTTTTTGGTCAGCAGACAAAGTCAACGAAAAATCCAATGCAGATAGATAACTAGGCATTGGATACGGAGACATTGAAAGCACCTCTTCAGCTTCATCTGCCTCCTCGGAGCTTTCCGAGGATGAGCATTCAGATGACTCCAAGAGATCTTCAGCGGGAGACTCATCCATGATGCTTGACGTCTCAGAACCCATGATATCCTCAGGCCTATTAATCAGACTGAACCTTTTACTCTTTTTGTTTATCACTAGCATCAGCATTAAAAAGCATGAAACCCAACAAAATACCATCTATAAAAGTTCACTATCGAATAAGAGGTTTTTTTGACCAAATTAGTAAGTATCAGAGTGACATTCATGGATGGATAAATGGGGAGAACTTACACATTAGGATCTCTTCTAACACTTGGTAGCGGACTCAAGTTTTCATCCTCAACAAAAGATACTTGGCGGCTGAGATTGTTCGAAAGTCTCAATGCAACACCTGGTGCAGCCTGAAAAATTGATTAATCATGACACATATATTATGTCAAACAGAATACGATCGCTTGATAAAGGAATATTATCTACACAGACAGTAACCATCACTACTGACACACACAAAAATGAAAATAAAATGAAATAAAGGCTATGTCATCATTCATCATGTGTAAATATTGAATAAATCATCCATCAAATTCACAGAAATTTCATGATCAAAATCTAAGGATAACTAGAATCAGAAGACAGAGGAAACATTTCGGGTGTGATTGAATATAAACTTGACCAATACAAAACCAATCAAAACTCAAATTTAACTCAACTTTAACCCAACCCCACTATCCTCAATATTATCAATATAATTAAATTATATCGACCAAATGAACCAATCATTCTTACACATCACATCAACTTTAATTCACTATTCATCCACTCACATAATTTTAATTAACCATCACTTCTAATCATTTTTCTCCTACTTTACATCAAATCAACTTTAGTTATTTCATTTTAAATATTATTTTAATTTAAACTTAAATTCCCATTAACAACTAACCATACCACATTTTTCAGTATTAACTATGGTTAACAAAAAAACCAGTAAAAAACCAATCAAATCCATATCCAATCACAGCCTTCAGGACTCTCAGGACTCAGCATTTTTTGGTCTCTCTACATTAATTGGTGCTTTATTTATACCTTGATTTAACCTTGTATCTAGATAAATGACGATCGAGAAGGCCAAAAGATGAATACCCCAGGTCACTGATCAACACATACATAAAATACACAATTGCGATATAACATGTAGGTTTACTGAAAAACCATCTATAAGGTTGGGATAACAGCACAAATCACAATTCAAAAGAACAACCGAACAAGAAATATACCTGTTGAGAACCAAAATCCAACTTCACTAATATGTTTTCAATCTTTTCCAGCATTCTCTGGTAATAACAGTCTCTGGCAAATACCATATTTTCAACAGTTCTTTTGTCAAATGAGAGTGGAAATGCAAACCATGGATATTCACTGGACAAACCAACCAAAGTTGGGAGGATCTCCTGATGAGTATCACATGCACCAACATTACTGGAAAACTCAAGCAATTTCAATATCACTTGAAGCTGTTGACCAGTTCTACAAAGTGGAACTAGGCACTCTTCAAGAAAGAAAGGCACAGTAGCTCCATCCCGTACCTGGGAAAGATATAATCCACATGATCAGAGATGCTCTATAGCAAAACTATGTAATCTAGAGCTTCAAAGATGGGATTACCTGAATAATTGGCAAAGGAGAACCAGAAGGTATTCCAGGGTCACCCAACGCATGAATAGAAATATTGCTGACACATTCCACAGCAAATTCATGGTGAGGGTCACTAAATACACCATCATAGATCCATGACCTAATAAAATAAGAATATGGTTCATAGCACTTGAGAAAGAGGAACTTGAGGAGCGCTGAATGGGCAGGATCGGCAACCTAAAAGAAAATGAGACAAATCTGTTGGATAAAATGAGCAATTTACAGGGGGACAGAGAATATCTATTAAATTCACATACAAAGACGTGCAGACCACCCATCTTTTACCTCTCAGCAATTAATCTATCAACTTATAAGGGCTTTGTTTTTAACTCCATGATATTGTTTATGGCACTCACATTAGTGAGATTGGTTGATTTGCCAGTTCAAGATTTACAGGAAATTTTTAAAACTTCTCCGTAAGTGTAGCATCTATATCTTCATTTCTGGAAAACTTAAAATTCAAGAAGAACCAACAGAAGATTTGAGAATTCATAATACAATCAATGAGATCTATCTGGCACAAAGAACGTCGTTGCATTGACTTGGTTTTCAGGATAACACAATCTAAGCCAAAACCAACAATAACTAACATGATCAACCAAAAAGGGCTACTCTGAATTGAAAAATAGCAAAATGCAAGATTGAATAAATGAAAGTTAGCTATCAGTTGAACATAACAAACATAACTAGACAACTAACCCTAGTTATGACGACTAACCTTTAGCTGAGCATATAAGAAAGAGAGTAAAGCACCACTTCTTGGGAAGACAGTGAACTCTGAGTCTGCTTTAGTCCTCAAGTCTTCTAAAGACCACTCAGGAAAGCCATCAGTGAGATGATTAACATTGCATAAATTTCCAAGGGTTTCAATTTGAGTCCTCAATCCCATGGTGTGAAGGTACATCTCCAACAGTGTAACTTCTGAATCCCCAATACTAGTAAAACAGCCTCCATTGTTAGCCTTTAAGCAACGCCTCAGGCTAACAGATTCAGACAATGTATTCAGAGCAGATGCATAACCATCAATGACTTTTCCAACAGAAATGGCAAATGCCTGATTGATCAAACTGAAATGTGGTGGGGTACACTGTCCTTCACAGGAATCACTTTTTACTGTTTCCTCGAGCTCTCTTGGTCCAATGAAATTGGGATTTGTGAAGTAACTGACAAATCTGCGGAGGAGGAATATTATGCAACCAGACTGGCCAATGGAAGTAAGCACATTTCCTACAATAACATTACTTGAACAACGGGTCCAGAAATTGGGAATCCGATGAGAAGTTCTGTCTGCAGAACTATAACGAAGTACTGATGAGAGTTTTTCAATGGATGTCAAAGCTGATTCCACACCTTGGAGAGCATTCATTGCCAACCTCACCAAACTGGGCTCCTAATATCATTGGAGAAAGTTAAAACAAGAAATAAAAAAAAATAAAAAAATAAAAAAAAAAAAGAGATAACTTGCATACTTCTAGATACATGAGAAAATGTAAACTGCACATGAAAAGGGAAAAAATGGAGTTGTAAAAGACAAAACTCATCATTTTGAGGGTATGCCATATTTGTTACACTGAGTAGATAATTCAACAGGTCTTTGCGTGTTAATGAGCTATATCTTTGCAAGTCAACACCCAGCTAGAGAAGTCTTGCACATATGTAGATGCTCTACTTGTGTGCATTTGCACCTTGTGGCTTACGGGACCTAAAAACCATACATAGATTCCAAATAATATTTCTACATTGAATATTTGAATCCTGAGTCCTGACAATCGAACTACGCAAACCATGGCAGCTTCACTAACGGCCATTTGAGGGCAACATTATTCACTTCTTAAACCACTATAACTTACACCAACAGTTCCAGCAAAGTTTGCACTAATAATCAAATAAATGACCTAGAACCTCCATGTCAATTCCATGAGCGAGAGCTAGATGCAAAACAAAAGGCATCCCTGTTTATAGATCACGAGCACATTCCAGCATTTAGCAACCGAAATTCATAAATCTCTTCGGGCGCAAAATCACGCAGAAACGCCCTCGAGTCAGAAACATTAGCATGTATCCTACATTTAGAACAAGAGGGAAGGGAAGACGGAAAGCACGTAATTACAGAGACAGTTGAAGTAGCGTAGAGAGGCGGCGAAGATTGAGAGGGCGGCCGAGAGGGAGCGCCGGACTGGTAAGGGAGGGAATCCCAAGATCTGGGTGGGACCCACGGATCATCGAGCTTGAGCTTCTCCAACAGAGAATCCATCACGGATATTGACGACTCCACCGCCATTGCGCGGCACGCGCCGCCGGGAAACGAGTAGAGTGAAGCCGGAACAGAGAGGGAAAGTGGGAAAACTTGAATTAGGATTTGATTTCACAGCGACTTTTTCAAGCCCCGTCTAAAATCGCTTTACAATTAATTATGTTAATATCGTGATGGTTTAGTTATGTAAAACTAGTGCATCTACCCGCGGGACAAGGAAGAATGAATAGAAATATATATCTATCTATATCTACATTTATATCTTATAAAAAAAATAATACATAATCAACCTAGTATACAATTAAGTTGACAACACAATCAGAAACATCCACTTGTATATTTTTTGATTTTTATTTTTGTAGATTTTTTTTACTTGTGTTGTCAACCTAATTGTATACTAAGTTGACAATGTAGCATTTCTACAACTAAGTTGACAACACAAGTGAAAACATCCAAAAGTAGAAACATCCACTTGTGTACCACTTGTATAT